CAAGAGGAATTTTTTATGTTAGTCACGTAAAATCAACAGTTGTATGCCACAATTATATCAAGAAACCCGTAAAGAGGTTAGCGATTTTCTAAAGGATGATCACTATGAGAACCAAAAAAAGACCAGACCGTTTTAAGCAGACCTGAACTTGCAAGTGACATGCTGTTCAAAACCATCTATACAACATAATCAACTCGTCTCCTTCTATAAAAAGGTCAAAAAAATGGAAAAAGGAAAAAAAAAAGGATGGCATGTTAAGCATGCACGCATATAGCTCAGCACAAAATGTACAAAAACAACCCTAAAAATAGCTGCATTACGTTCTAAAAGAACAATCGTCTTTACCTTGATTCATGCTTAAAGCTAAAAAGCTAGAATCATGAACTATCTACTACTGCACTATATAAGGACATATTTGCATTTCTAAAACAAATCAAACAGCTTTCACTCTCCCCCATAATTTCCTGTTTTTTTTTTTTTTTCTTAGAAACAATTCTGTATTTTCGTGACTATTACAGTTATGAATATTTATAAAGTTGTGTTTGTGACACTTTCTTTATTTTTTGTAATCGGCTTCACCAATAGTTTCGATTACCAGGAGAGCGACTTGGCATCAAAAGAGAGTCTGTGGAACTTGTATGAGAAATGGCGGAGCCATCACACAGTTTCTCGTGATTTAGAGGAAAAGAAAAAGCGATTCAGTGTGTTCAAGGAGAACTTAAAGCATATTCACAAGGTGAATCAGATGGATAAACCCTATAAGCTTAAACTAAATGCTTATGCAGACATGACCAACTATGAGTTCTTAAATAGCTATGGCGGCTCAAAGGTCAGTCACTATAGGATGCTCCATGGTCCTAGGCGCTCTACTGGCTTTATCCATGAGAAGACTGAGGATTTTCCTTCTTTTGTCGATTGGAGAAAAAAAGGAGCAGTTGCTCCTATCAAGAACCAAGGCAGATGTGGTAAGTATTTCATCACTCTTTAAATTTCTACTTTATCAATATTTATAAATTTCATATTTTTATTTGTGTATTATAAGTAGAAAATTCATTAAAAAATAATTATGTTATAGGTAGTTGTTGGGCGTTTTCAACAGTAGCTTCAGTAGAAGGTATCAACCAAATCAAAACGGGAGAATTGATCAGCTTATCCGAGCAAGAATTGATTGATTGCAATAAAGAAAACCATGGTTGCGATGGAGGATTAATGGAAGATGCATTCAAGTACTTAGAGAAAAGTGATGGATTAACAACTGAAAAAAATTATCCTTACAGAGGCAAAGACGAAAAGTGTCAAATATCAAAGGTAATACTGACCGGTAAATAAATAACGTACAATTCGGTATAAATAACATGGTTCTTACCAATTTGTAGATGAATGCTCCAATGATCGTCATAGATGGTTACGAAATGGTTCCTGAAAATGATGAGAAAGCTCTCTTGAAAGCTGTTGTCAACCAACCTATTTCAGTTGCTATAGATGCTGGTGGCAAGGATTTTCAATTTTATGCTGAGGTATGAAATAGGTCGCTAAAAAAAATTATAAAGAAATTCATTTGCATAAAATAAGTGTTGGTAACAAATTTGCAGGGAGTCTTCACTGGTAAGTGTGGAACAGAATTAAATCATGGAGTAACACTCGTGGGATATGGGTCAACCTCAGATGGAACTAAATACTGGTTAGTGAGGAACTCTTGGGGAATTGAATGGGGAGAAAAAGGTTACATAAGAATGGAACGAGATATTAAAGAAGGAGGAGGTAAATGTGGAATAGCCATGGAGGCATCCTATCCTATCAAGTTGCATAATGATAATAAAAAAAGGCAACCAAGCAAGGATGAATTATAAATGAATACAAAGTTTGTGGGTTTGTATTATGTTTTTAGGTTGGTCAAGAAGATTTATATGTATGTGTATTTAAAACTTGTTTGAGTCAGAATAAACACTTGTTTGATGTTTGACAAGTGAAAACATATTATGTATTAATTTTATTAGTCAAATTTATAATACTATCAATAATATCAGTAATTAATTTTAATAAATTTTTTAAACAATTCAATTTAATAGGATAAGATATAATATAAAAAGTACATTGATATACAAAATATATGTATATATTAGAATCAATCGGTTGAGTTACAATGGAACCCAAATTCTAGTATTATATTTCTACTTATAATAAAAAATTTCATATATGAGGAAATATTAAAAAATAATGATAATAATAATTTGACATTTTCCATGCAATAGGGTAAGGATCACTTTCTACCAGCTCATCTCCTGTTGCTGATATCAATTCTCAACAACCGCCTTTAAATCATTCCTCATGCAATCTATTGTAGTCTTTGAGTTGCTTGTGCATTAATTTTTTTTTTAAAAATTATCAGTATTTTTTTTTTCTAACGTAATTAAGTCTTAAATAATAAATATTAATCATAAATTATACTTTACACCACACATTAATGTCAAAACCACCCTCCTAAATTGCCCCACATCCTTATAAATTAATCTTGTGAGTTGGTAAAATATTATTTATAATTATTTTTTAATAATACCAAAATATTTTACAATTTTCTTTTTAGATTATAAAAATGATTTAGTAACTTGTCAATGAATAAGAATAAAAATAATACAGTGTATAAATTAGATCAATTATAGTTTTACACTTTATATCTTGGTTTGATTAACAAATTAGAAGATTTTCATAATTTATTTTGAAATAGTTCATTACTTTGAAATTTTACAATCAGACCATAGAATAGTTTTGTTCCTATTGAAATTTTAAGATTATAAACTATCACAAAATTTTAATTTAAAATAGAAAAGAAAATGAGGCTACCGTCCTCATGGTGTGTGTGCATATATATATATATATATTCAAAGTGTGTTGTTAATAGTTTAATTTACCTTGTTTTTTTTTTATGGGGTTTGGAAGCAATTATTATAATCGTAGGAGATGGGACCAAGTGGCCAACCGTGTGGCCTTGATTCCATAAAAAGCCCACTCCTCCACCCCGCACGCATTGCCAAATCTTTGACCGTTAACCGGTCATTGCCCGTTCCCGGTCAAACAACTAATTTTTTTTTTTTTTTTAGATTCTAGCAATTAATATTAACTAATCCTAATTTATATAAAATTATGGTATATAATTTATTTTAGATTACACAACAATACCATTATCTAAAGCTAAAAATACATTGGTTAAAAAAATAATGCACTTGGGGAAGCGTTGAAAGAAAAACATAATACTCGAGAAAAGGACAAAGAATCCCGTTAATGAAATGCCGTACGGTGATTAGGGAGATATGGGCTTTAATTTAAAAATTAATCATAATTAATGAACTATTTAACCCAGTATATTTGTCGGTTATTGTATGTGTATACATATATTACATAATCTGATGTTCCATGGCGGTGTAAGTTGCAACCAACATGTTCAATAATATCTTAAAAGAATCCAATGATGTATTATTGAAATTTACAAATTTTTTTTTTTTTTTTTTCTAAACTGACTTCTGCGCACAAATATAAAAAGTGCATAATTTATACCCATTATATATGTAAAATTAATGATAATTATCAACGATATATTGATTATTTGTTATCTATACTCCTATTTAAAATCATATAAACTAATTTTATTTACAAATTTCCATAAAATTCTTATAAAAATATTTAGAAATATATTTTTGTTACTAGATGTT